AAAAGGTCTTGCGCAGAAGAATTGCCTAATGCAATACGTCATTTGATTTCTTGACTGCTGCTTCCATGAGTGTTGATAGTTGATCCAAGAAGAATAACAGACTGGCTAGTCTATTAGAGCAACTGTGAAGAAGCATGACAAAAAAGGAACGCTCTCCAAGTTCAGCCGGGCTTTCTACAGGGGCATAATCTTATAGTGCTACTGATCAATGCTGACTGTATTTGTTCACTTCCATCTCAGATTCCCAGCTTCAAAACACAGTCTGTGTCTTGTGGATATTGATTTCCCCTGCCTACTATTTTAAAACAGACATTTAAGTGGGATAGAAATGAATATTGGGAATTATGAAGACAGAAAGCTTGTAAGCCATCTTCAGCCTATAAGTGATTAATTAGATTTGCTAAAAGGGGAATTAGAATTTGCCCAGTAAAATAGACTTTTTGTTGAGTCTTTGTAAAGGTATGGGGCCTTAGGTGGAATCCTGAGCCCCACCCAGACCTTCTAAGTTGGGACATTCCCACTTGAAAAGACATGCAGACCAACCCAGTGTTGCTGGCAGAATAGAAGCATATTACTGAAAGGAAGAACTGCCAAAAAAAGGGGGGGACAGTTTGGCTGTATGAATCTTAAGCAAACTGTGTGCTCTGGAGGCATCAAGGCAAGAAAAGTCAGCCCATTAGGAAAATCCCCCTTCTAAGATTAAAACTCAAAGGGACCCTCAAGCAGTTGAGTATGCTCACTGGTAACAATCTGGGTCTACTTGTGAGTAGAAGTGGAAGAAATACAGCAATGAAGACATGGCCTGAGTTTGGCCATGTTCCACTGACACTTGTTCACCCTGAAATGATAATGAGAAGAGGAAGCACTAGCAGGTCTGAAGTTTAGGGAGATGTGTGAACTCCCAAGCCCATGGGCATCCAAACTAGCCACTGGGGGCTAGAGCTGAGAGTGAAGCAGCTAACTGGTCTGAAGTGTAGGTAGGCATGTTTGAACTTCCAAACTTGTAGCTAGTATCCATTTGACCTAGTCTGGATAACTAGTTGACTAGAACTCGACCAGATGAAGATAAAGATGCTTGAAACTGTAAGCAAGTGTAAATTGTTACGATTTGATGAACTGGACTTTTGCTTATGGATGCAGTTGCTCAAAATTCCAACTGGACTGGAAGGATTCTTCATATCAAGGAACAAACTTGTTTCCTCAGTGTACTGGGTTGATAGGGATGGGCAGTTTAGACATTGACTATCAAAAATGAGGGGCTATAAAGTCACGAAGTGGCTGGCTTACAGACTTTCATGAGTGTGCTTAGTTTCAGAAAGAGGGGAGTAAGGTAGAATCCCTACTGAATAGTTTTCCAGATGGATCTGATGAATGGGGGTAGGGGGACAATAGTAATAGGATTTTAAGATTCAACTGTAATTGTTAGCAGGATTCATTGTGATTGTCACAACTGTAATTGCAGAAGATGTGTAACTAAAAGAGGGGAGTAGTTAATCTTTCATTTCAGGAACAGATAATCCCAGGACCATCAAGAAGGAAGAGTCTAAGTGAAGCATGATATCCTACTTAGAAAAGCAGCAACAAGAAAGACAGAGGCAGTGGCATGGAGAGACAGAGCAGCTGCGGGCTCTAGGCTCATGGACTGAGTAAGGCTGTGTGCCTGCACGCAGGAGGCTGGCTTGCAAAATATGCCCTTTGGACATTTAAATGAATACATATTTTTGGCTTTGTATGTGCACATCAAATATTTTTGCTTTGTTAATTTGTGAAATACAAGATGTAAATGGGAAGCCACCAGGAGGAAGTAGGGTAACTGTTGTTTCAGGGAGGGGACTGTAATTATTGAGATGAAACAAAGAGTATAATTTATTGAATGTAAAGCTAATGATCTTATCAATTAACCTTCACTCAAGTCACAGTAAAAGTTAAGAGTAGAAAAAAAAAGAGGCACATTCTGAAGTAAAGTACATTTCAGGCTCTGCAGCAATTACTCAATATTCTAAGACACAGATATGGTCAAGCCATTTTCAAGATGAAACCATTATCATTTTTAGAGCTATGATTTTACTCTCAACTACTCTGGTAGCGTAGTGGTTACGAATCGGGCTGCGAACCTCCAGGTCAGCAATTCGAAACTACCAGCAGTATTTACAGCCTTGGAAAACCGGTACAGGGTCACTATGAATTGGAACCGACTCCACGGCACATAACAACAACAGCTATAAGTAAGTAAAATGTCTTATAGTTGAAGTATACAGTGCAAAAAACAAAATACCACTGTTAAAGATTGAATTATGTGACCCCAAATGCGTGTCAAGTTGGCTGGACAATGATTTTCAGTGGTTTCAGTTATGTAATAATGCAATCACCCTCACTATGCAATCTGATGTGATCAGCTCTGATGTGATGTAATTATCCTATGTGCTGTGAATCCTCACTTCTATGATGTTTATGAGACTAGATTTGGTCTACAGGATTAGCTTCTAACTTGAGTCAATCTCTTTTGAGATGTAACAGATTAAATAAGCAGACAGAGTGCAGAGAGACCTACTACCACCAAGAAAGAAGAGGTGGAGTGGAGTGTGTCCTTTGAATCAGGGGCCCCCATACTGTAAAGCTCATAGATCCAGAGGCAGACTGATACCAAGATGCACAGAGATCTCCAAGGAATGTTGGGCTTACAGATGCTGAAAGAAGACAAGGACCTTTCTTCAGAGTCAACAAAGATAGAAAGTCTTCCCCTAGAACTGGCACTCGGAGTTTGGAATAAATGTCTGTCTGTTAAAGGCATCCACTTGTGGTATTTTAGTACAGCAGCACAAAGTAACTAAGATACTCATGAATAAAAATCTTTGGATCTTGGTAGCCAGCCTAAGTTATACTAATGAATACATACAACTAAAAGAAGCAAAGTAGGTATAAGTCATAAGAGAAATAAAATAAAACACATAATTATCCAAGAGACAAAATAGCCTGCTTCTAGCAGGAGTAGAAAGTAAAGGAACCTTAAGGATGATAACTCAAAGTGAGGGCTACATTGGTAGGAGTTCTTTGAAAGCCATACCCAGAGATAGTACCGAAGGCTCACCCACAGCAGAAAAGACAGGGAGGGAGTCCCATCTCTCTATTAAATATTAAAGTGCTTTTCTTACCAACATTGTAAGATAGTCAAATATTCAAAAATTTTTCGAGACTTCATCACATCATCTAAGCTGTATTCCTTCTGGAACTGGGAATATCTAAACACAAAATAAGTCATTACAGAATGTGAGGTAGCAATTGCAATTCAGTTAAAATGTTCTTGACCATAAGTTAAAAAGATAATACAATGCAAATATTCTTTTCATAAACAAAAGTCAGACTTTTATGAATAGTCTCAATCTTAAAAAATAATTCATTTGAATTTTGAGTAAAAAAAAAAAAATCCTAACTTCAAAATACCATACCTACCCACCCCAAACCCACCATAGAGAAGTAAAGACACCATTCTTCAAAAGCAAATTGAATGACTCAGAGTTCAATTGACGTCTGTGGTGAACATACTATGTAAGCATATTAAGTGAAAACTAATGAATCTCTTGGTATGGACTGTAGGATCAGCACTGAACTTCGAACCAAAAGGTGGGCAGTTCAAACCCACCAGCTACTCCTTGGAAACCCTATACAGGGTTGCTATGTGTCGGAACCAACACAAAACAAAGAATTCTGAAAACAGCTCATGAAAATTAAAATATCGCCTACAAAAGGATGCCATTAAAACTAAGAACTGCTTTCTTGTCAGAAATCCTTTAGATAGAGAACCAACAACAAGCTGAGATTAAAAACATGGCAGCATCCAGCCAGATAATTTTCAAAACTACCATAAACAATTCCTCAACAGTACTAAAATCCAACATTTTTTAAGTACTTACAGAGGTAGACATGTAAGCTATACAGGTATGGAAGTGTATGCACATACATGTACAGGCATAGTTGTGGGCAATTCTAAATATGAGGAGGCTTCAAAAAGTTCGTGGAAGTGGACAAAGTTGTGAGAAGTTCTTACATATAACCACTACTGGCCTTGAAATCTAAGGACCATAGTCACGGGGGATTATCTAGGTCAACTGGCATAACATGTTGTTGTTGTTAGGTGTTGTTGTTCTTGTTAGGTTGTTGGTACCAACTCATAGCGACCCTATGCACGAAAGAATTGAACACTGACCAGTCCTGGGCCAACCTCACAATCACTGCTACATTTGAGCCCATTACTGCTGCCATTGTGCCAATCCATCTCAATGGGGGTCTTCCTCTTTTTCTCCAACCCTTCACTTTACCAAACATGATATCCTTCCAGCTACTGGTGCCTCCTGACACTATGTCTTAAGTATGAGAGGTAGTCTGGCCATCGTGGCTTCCAAAGAGCACTCTGGATAGACTTCTTCCAACATAGATCTATTTGTTCTATTGGCAGTCCATGGTACTTTCAATATTCTACTGCAACACCATGATTCAAATGCATCAATTCTTCTACAGTCTTTCTTATAATTCACTCTCCAACTTTCACATGCATATGAGGCTATTAAAAATACCATGGTTTGAGTCAGGTTACCTTAGTCCTCAAACTGACATCATTGCTCTTGAACACTTTAAAGAGGTATTGTGCAGCATATTTGCCAAATGCAATATGTCATTTGATGCTGTTTCCATGAGTATGATGGTTGTTCTGAGCAAAATGAAGTCTTTTTGAAGACTTGAAAAACTTCAATCTTTTCTCCATTTATATGAATAGTGTTTATTGGTTTAGTGGTGAGGATTTTTGTTTTTTTTTACATTAAGATGCAACCAATACCAAAGGCTGTGGTCTTTGATTTTCATCAGTAAATATTTTAAGTCCTCTTCACTTTCAGCAAGCAAGGTTATATCATCTGAATACTGCAGGTTGTTAATGAGTCTTCTTCCTCCAATGTTGATGCTACATTTCTCTTCATATAACACAGCTTCTCAGATTACTTGCTAAGCATATAAATTGAATAAGTATGGTGCAGAATACAACCCTGGCACACAACTTTCCTAATTTTAAACCATTCGGTGTTTCCTTGTGCTATTTGAACAACTGCCTCTTAGTTTGTATAAAGGTTCCTCATGAGCACAATCAAGTGTTCTAGAATACTCATACTTCACAATGTTGTCCATAGCTTGTCGAGATCCACACAATCAAAAGCCTTTGCATAGTCAATAAAGCACAGACAGGTAAAGTTCTTTCTGGTATTCTCTGCTTTAAATCAAGATCCATCTGCCTTCAGAAATAATATCCCTCGTTCCACGTTCTCTTCTGAATCTGGCTTGAACCTCTGGAAGTTCTCTGTCAATGTATGGTTGCAATCGTTTTTTCACTATCTTTAGTAAAACTTTACTCACATGGGGAAACCAATTATACTGTCCAATAATTTCTGCATTCCGTTGGGTCACCTCTCTTTGGAATGGGCACAAATACAGATCTCTTCTATTCAGTTGGCCAGGTAACTGTCTTCCAAATTTCCTGGCAAAGATGAGTATCTCCAGTGCTGCCTCACCTCACTTTCTTGGAATATTTCAATTTGTATTCCATCAATTCCCAGTGCATTGTTCTTTGTCAATGCCTTCAATGCACCTTGGGCTTCTTTCGTCAGGATCATTGGCTCTTGATCATAGGCTACCTCTTGAAATGGTTGAACATCAACTGTTTCCTTTTGATAGAGTGACTCTGTGTATCCCTTCTATCTTCTTTTGAAGCTTTTGCATCATTCACGATTTTACCCATAGAATCCTTCAATACCACAATTCAAGTTTTGAATTTTTCTTCAGTTCCCTCAGCTTAAGAACTGCCAAGTATGTTCTTCCTTTTTGGTTATCTAACTCCAGGTCTTTGCATGGTTTTTTTTTTGTAATATTTGACTTTGTCTTCTCAAGCTGACCTTTGGAATTTTCTGTTCAGCTCTTATACCTACTCACTTCTTTCATTTGCTTTAGCCTGTGCTGGAGAGTAAGTTTCAAAGTCTCTTCTAACATCCATTTTGATCTCTTCCTTCTTTCTTGTCTTCTTAATGACCTTTTGCTTTCTTCCTGTATGATGTTCTTAATATCATCCCACAATTCTTCTGGTCTTCAGTCTTTATTGTCTAATGCATCAAATCTGTTCTGCAGATGATTTCTAAATTCAGGTGACATATATTCAAAAATAAGACCTTCAAGGTCATATTTTGGCTTTCATGGATTTGTTTTAATTTTCTTCAGCATCAGCCTGAATTTGCACTGAGCAATTGATGGCTTGTTCCACAGTCTGTCCCTGGCCTTGTTTTGGCTGATGATATGGAGTTTTTTCACCGTCTCTTCCCACAAATGTAGTCAACTTAATTTCTGTGTATTTCATCTGGTGAGGTCTATGTGTATAGTCTTTTGTGTTGTTTAAAAAAGATATTTGCAATAAAGAAGTTACTGGTCTTGCAAAATTCTATCATGCTATCTCCAGCATCATTTCTATCACCTAAGCCAACATATTAAGAAATGACCACACTACGCCTGTACATGTACATGCATGCACTCCTACACCTGTATAGCAAACATGTCTACCTATGTTTTCAACCTTTGCATTTCAATTGCCAGTAATTATCAAAACATCTTGATTGCATGTTTGATTAGTTTCAGACTGAAAAAATTGGTAGAATTCTTTAATTTCATCATCACGGCTTCAGTGGTTGGTGCGTAAATTTGGATAACAGTGTTATTAACTGGTCTTCCTTGTAGGTGTATGGATATGATCCTATCACAGACAAGAGTTATACTTCATGACCGATCTTGATATGTTCTTCTTGACGATGAATGCGAAGCCATTCCTCTTCAATTTGTCATTCCTGGCATAGTAATCCATGTGATTGTCAGAATCAAAATGGCCAATAAAAGTCAATTTCAGCTCACTAATACCTAGGATATTGATGTTTATATGTTTCATTTCATCTCTGACAATTTCCAATTTTTCTAGATTCATACATTCCATGTTCCAATTACTAATGGATGTTTACAGAAGTTTCTCTTCATTTTGAGTTGTGCCTCATCAGCAAATGAAGGTTTTGAGAGCTTTATTCTGTTCGTGTCATCATGGTCAACTCTATTTTGAGGAGGCAGCTCTTCCCCAGTCATTTTTTGAGTGCCTTCCAACCTGAGGGGCTCATTTTCCGGCACTGTATCTGTGACAATATTCTGGTGCTCTTCATCATGTTTCAATATTCAATAATCTGGTGCTAACAGTGTTCCACTGTTATTCATAAAGTTTACAGTGACTAAATATTCGGAAGTAGTTCATCACTCCTTCTTCCTAATCTGTCATCATCTGGAAGCTCATCTGAAACCTGTCCACTGATGACCCTGATGGTATTTAAAATATCAGTGACATAGCTTCCAGAATCACAGCAACGCACAAGCCACTACAATACAACAAACTGACAGACAAGTGGTAGTAGAAGAAAAAAACAAACCTTTTTTTGGTTTTTTTACAAATACCTAAAATGATCTTTGGACTCCGAGTGTGGTGCTGTAGGGTAAGCACTGGACTGACTGCAAGGTTGGTCTGAACCAAAAGGTTGGTGGTTGAAACTCAACCCTATACAGGGTTGCTATGAGTCGGAACCAACTCAACAGCACATAACAGGAAGAATGATTTTAAGCAAGTTACTGAGTCTCATTTTTCTCAAGTACAAAATTTAAAAAATATCTACCTTAGAAGCTTCTTGAAAGAATTAAGTAAAATGTGCATAAAAGTCCTGGTGTGATGCTGCACGATCAGCACTGGGCTGCAAAACTACAAGGTCAGCAGTTCAAACCCACCAGCTGCTCCTTGGAAACCCTATACAGACTCACTATGGGTTGGAACTGACTTGACAACACTTAACAACAACAACAACAACAGCACAATGGCACATAGTTTACACTCAATAAAGTTAGCGAATATAATTTTATTACTGTTATTATTTTATTTAATAATAAATAAAGGAGAAAGGATTGAAGTTGTCAAGGACTTCATTCTTCTTGGATCAACTATCAACACTCGGGGAAGTAGCAGTCAAGAGATCAGATGACGTATTGCACTGGGCAAATCTGCTGCACAGGAACTTTTTAAAGTATTGAAGAGCAGAGATGTCAGCTTGAGGACTAGGGTGCGCCTGACCCAGGCCATTGTGTTTTCAATAGCCTCATATGGATGCGAAAGCTGGACAGTGAATAAAGAGGATCGTAGAAGAATTGATGCCTTTGAGTTGTGGTGTTGGAGGAGAATACTGAGGGTGCCATGGACTGCCAAAAGAACCAATAGATCTGTTTTGGAAGAAGTGCAGCCAGAGTGCTCCTTGGAGGCCAGGATGGCTAAGCTTCGTCTCTCCTACTTTGGACATGTAGTCCGGAGGAAACAATCGTTGGAGAAGGATGTCATGCTGGGTAGGGTGGAGGGTCAGAGAAAAAGAGGAAGACCTCCAACAAGATGGATCGGCCAGGTGGCATCATTGATGGACTCGGGGGTGGTAGCGGTGGTGAGGTTGGCCCAGGATCGAACATTGTTTCGTTCTGCTGTGCATGGAGTCGCTATGAGTCGGTTCCGACTCGATGGCACCTGACAACAACAACAACAATTATTTTATTTGGTATTGTTCCTATAGTGAAGTTATGTGGCATCAACTCAATTCCCAATGAATTTTCTTCAGTAACCAGTAACTCATGCCATGAGAGAGGAATTATGCTATGCACTAGGAATACAAAGATTAACAATCTGAATATATTAAATGTTATCTTGCTTCAAACTGGTATTAGGACATAAATAATCATACTGTTCTACTAGAATAAAGGTTAATGACAGAAATTATTAAAACTTATCTTGACTATATGCATTTTATAAACTTTAAAACTGATTCAAAGAAAATTTTTACGGCATATTTTCAAATGATGACTGGTTATTTTCAATTAAAAGTAATATAATAAATTATGTTTACTCAGAATTACAACTTGTGATAATTCTATCTTTTAATAACAGCTATTTGCATTCTTTCTTAAAAGAGTCATTAAGTTTGAATGTCATTCTAAATAAAAGGTCAAGAATTAATATTAAAAAGTAATCAAAAACTTACTTGGACAAAAAGCTTTTATGAGAAAAAGCATTCTAGTTATTTATCTGTTAAGTCTATACTTTCTTTTTATGTATAAAGTTGTGTATTTTAAAGCAAAATGGCACAAATTTCCATTATTTTATCTCTCTGAAATACTTACGGGTTGTTAACTGAATGTTTATGATTTTTCCACCCAATTTTTGCAAAGTGTTCAATTTTTGTCCCTGTAGAGAAAGCAAACATTTATTATGGGTAAATTCTCTTTGCTGCTGCATATTAATAAATGTTTCAATGATACTCAGTGTCCCTTTGAACAGATATAAATACTGACAATGCCAACACAAAAATAATTCTTTAGACTTAAACTTAGGCCTTGGTGTGACACTGTAGGATAAGCACTGGACTTCTAACTGCAAGGTCAGCAATTCAAACTCACCAGTCACTTTCAAAGACTCCATACAGGATTGCTATGAGTCAGAACTGACTTGTTGGAACACACACACACAAAAAAAAAAAAACAAGAATTAAACTTGGGTACATCTAATGAATTGAAACAACTCATCAGCATACAATAAAAACAGTTCAAACTGATTCAGTCTACCTACTACAGAGTCCAATTTCAAAACCAAGATAAAACAGTGAACAAAATACAGCTAGGACCCTTACTGGCTCTAAGACAAGAAACACAACCAGTAACATTTCAAGGAGTGGAACAAAACATCCTGATGCTTCAAACATACTTAATTTTACATGTCTCCTCACCACTCTCCTATCTACTTGTTATACTGCGGTGGCTTACATGTGGCTTACATGGTATTCCAAATACCAGCAGGGTCATTCTTAGTGGACAGATTTCAGCAGAGCTTCCAGACTAAGAAGAAAGGAAGAAAGACCTGGCAATCTAATTCTAACAAAGCTGGCCAGTAAAAACTTCATAAATAGTTGTGGTACATTGTCCAATATAGTGCCAGAAGATGAGCTTCTCAAGTTGGAATCCAAAATACGACTAGGAAGAGCTGCCTCCTCAAAGTAGTGCTGACCTTAATGACACAGATGAAGTAAAGCTCTCAGGACTTTCATTTGCTGATGTCAATGTGGCACGGCTCAAAATGAGAAACAGCTGCACATATCCATTAATAATAGGAATGTGGAATGTGTGAAGTACAAATCTAAGAAAATTATAAATCATCAGAAATGAAATGGAATGATTAAAGATCAATTTCCTAGCCATTAGTGAGCTGAGAGGACTGGTATTGACTATGTTTTAAAAAGATTATGATATGGTCTACTATGCTAACAATGACAAACTGAAGAAGAATATAGTCACATTCATCAGCAAAAAGAACATTTCAAGTTTTATACCTAAGGACTATGTTGTCAGTGAAAGGATATTATCAATATTCCTTCATGGAAGACTAGGTAACATAACCATTATTCATATTTACCCACCTACCACTAATGTCAGGGATGAAGATATTGAACATTTTTACCAACTTCTAAAGTCTGCAATTAATCAAATATACAATCAAGATGCATTAATAATTACTGGTAATTGGAATGTGGAAATTGAAACAGAGAAGAAGGATAAACAGACCTTGGTGATAGGGATGATGCCAGAGATCACATGACAGAATTTTGCAAGACCAATGACCTATTCATTGGAAATATCTTTTATCAACAAGCTAAGCAGCAATTATACACATGTACCTTGCCAAATGGAATGAATACACAGTTATTCTGACGGAACGAGGGTATAATTTGTCCCTTAAAATCTGGAAAGGTATGTGTCAGGATTGCATCCTTTCACTGCATGCCATATGAAAAAGAATGTGGCAGTAGGATTGGAGAAAGACTTATTAACAACCTATGATATGCAATGATACAATTTTGCTTGTTGAAACCAAGACTTGAAGCACTTACTGATGAAGATCAAAGACTATAGCCATCAGTATGGATTACTTTAATTTTTATCATGGAATATTCTAGGTACTCCCAGATGATGTCTTTTACATATATATATATACATATATATACATATATATATATATACATACATACATACATATAGAGTCCTGGTGTGGCACTGTGGGTTAATGCGCCAGACTGCAAAGCCGTTTGAACTGCAGGGCCAGCGGTTCAAGCTCACCAGTTGCTCCTCGGAAACCCTATACAGAGTCACTGCAGGTCGGAACTGACTTGACTTGACAGCACTTAACAACAACAACACATATATGTGTGTGTGTGTGTGTGTGTGTATATACATACATACACACACACACACATACATATACATGTACATATGTATGTGTGCATATACATGTACATATGTATATGTATGTATGTACATATGTGTGTATGTACATGTACATGTGTGTGGTGTGCACGTGTGTGTGCATGTACATATGTGCGCGCACATGTAGTGTGTGTGTGTGTGTTTTGACTGACAACTAAATTCCACAGGGCCCATTTCTTCAACTTAACTTTTAAAACATTTTATATCTTAAGTATCCTAACATCTTCCACAATTCTTTAAGTGTTTATTAAATATGTATATTAAATATATATAGAACTAATCACAAGTTCTATATATACATATATATATATATATATATAAAACTCGTGATTAGTTTTTTTTGTTTTTCTTTAATTAAATCATACCATATTTGTCCATGTGCTCTTTTCCAGCATATCCAAACATCTGAGGAGCCAGTGGGTGTGAAGTTATTCCATATTTATTGATCAAGACTCCAACATGTTTATCAATTGGATTGGTCCTATCTGAAAACTAAGAGAGGAGAAAAAAATTAATTTTATAAGTAGCTGACAAGATAATTGTCTCTTTCAACTATTACAATGATACTTACACATTTGTTTAGTCTAAGAGCACAGTAAACGAAAAATAGCCAATATGAATAAACTCAGCAAGTGCTTTGAAGGAAAATATGAAGAGAAGAAAAAAAGAATCAAGTAACCGGAGACAAAATGGCTAGCAAATATCCCGTAGGTGCCAGTAACTATTCAGAAAAAACAGTGAACAAAACAGATAAAATTCCTGGTCCTCTGACACCTACAATGGGGAAAAGGAGTAAGAGCGATAGGGATAAAAATACACAAAAATTGTAAACAGTAATGCAATGCAGAAAGTAAATCTGAGTAAGGGGATAGAAACTGAAGTTAAGCACAACTTTATAGACAGTAGTCAGGTGAAGTCTCACTGGTAAAGTGATATTTGAGTAAAGATGTGAAAGGGTAAGAGGGTAACCTTGGAAGAATATTCTATATAGAGGGAATAACAAGAATAAAGACTTTAAAGCAGGAGTATGTTTGGGTGTCTGAGAAAAGGGGCAAATAAGGATTAGGATAAAGTGATACTCAGAAAGTTATATCTTCTTAAGTGTTTAATAACAAACTTGCTAGGAAAAAAAGCCTTGATTGGTATCATTTGCTGATTTTTACAGTGTAAATACTCCCACCATGGCCAATTTGAATCTATTCACATGATGTCACTGAAAGAGAAGATGGAAGGAGATGTGCATATTTGGAACTTGCAAACTGGTATAAGCCAGTACACATTAGTTCCAGCAAACCACTAATTTGAACCTAACCCTATCAATAACCATTGCATTAAAATGAAAAAGGATGGTTGATGATATTATTGTTGTTAATGTGCTGTTGAGTTGCTTCCAACTCATAGCAACCCTGAATAGAGTTTCCAAGAAGCAGCTGATGTGTCTGAACCACCGACTTGTGGTTAGCAGCCAGTGCTTATCCAACAGGGTCACATCAGGACTCTAATAAAAAGGATATAAACCCCAAAATTAAAAGACAACCTGTCACAATGTTTAAAACAAAACCCAATTATATGCTGCTTGTTGTTGTTGTTAGGTGCCATAATGTAGATTCCGATTAACAGCAACCCTATACACAACAGAACAAAACACCACCCGGTTCTGCATCATCCTCACAATTATTAACAGTTGAACCCATTGCTGCTGCCACTGTGTCAATTCACTTCATTGGAGGTATGCCTCTTTTTCACTGACCCTCCACTTTACCAACTATGATGTCCTTCTCCCAGAACTGGTCCAAAGTATGAGACACAAAGTCTTCCCGTTCTGGCTTCTAAGGGGCATTCTGGCTGTATTTCTTCCATCACAGATTTGTTTGTTCTTCTGGCAATCCATGGTTCTTTTATGTTAATATTCTTCTCCAGCACCATCTATCAAATATATCAATTTTTCTACAGTCTTCTTTACTCATTGTCCAACTTTCACAAGCATATGAGGGTGATGAAAGTAACACTGCTTTGATCAGACGTACCTTAGTCCTCAAACTGATATCATTGTTCTTTGCAATACGTTGCTTGATCTCTTGACTGCTGCTTCCATGAGTGTTGATAGTGGATCCAAGCAACCTGAAGCCTTTGACAACGTCAATATTTTCTCCATTTATCATGACTTTATTGGCCTGGCAGTGAGGAGTTTTGTTCTCTTCACATTAAGATGCAATCCACACTGAAGGCTGTGGTCTTTGATCTTCATCAGTAAGTATTTTAAGTCTTCTTCCCTTTCGGAAAGCAAGGTTGTATTATCTGAATATCACAAAGTGTTCATGAGTCTTCCTGCAATACCATGTTCTTCTTCAAATAATCCACTTTCTCTGATTATTAGCTCGGCATATAGATTGAGTAAGTATGATTAAAGAACACACCCTGACGCACATCATTTCTAATTTTAAACCATTCAGTGTCCCCATGTTTTGTTCGAATGACTGCCTTTTGGTCTATGCACAAGATCCTCATTGGCACAATTAAGTGTTCTTGAATACCCATTCTTCACAACGTTATCCATAGCTTGTTATGATCCACACAGTCGAAAGTCTCTGACTATTCAATAAAATGTAAATAAACATCTTTCTGGTATTCTCTGTTTCAGCCAAGATCCTTCTGACGTCAGCAATGATATCCCTAGATCCACATCCTCCACTGAATCGGCTTGAAACTTTAGCAATCCCCTATCTGTACTGCTGCAGTCATTTTTAAATTGTCTTTAGCAAAATTTTATTTGTGTGTGATATTAATAGTCTGATGATTTCCATATTCCATTGAATTACCACAATTATGGCTCTCTCCCAATCAGTAAGCGAGGCAGCTATCTTACAAAATTCTCAGCATGGATGAGTGAGTGCCTCCAGTGCTCCATCAGTTTAAGACATTTCCATTTTTATTCCATCAATTCCCAGAGCTTTGTTCTTTGCCAATTCCTTCAGTGCACCTTGAACTTCCTCCTGACTCTTGATCATATGCTACTTCTTGAAATGGTTGAACATTGATCACTTCTTTTTAGTACGACGACTATGTGTATTACTTCCATCTTCTTTTGATACTTTCCGCATCATTCAATATTTTGCCCAACTTACAGTGACCTTGTGAAAGATGAGGCCTTCTACTCCCGTAAGGATTTACACCCTCGGAAACCCTGTACAGGGTCGCTATGGGTCGGAAGCGACTCAAAGGCACTTAACAACAAACAACAACAACAACAGTGACCTTGTATGGGGTTTCCGAGGAGCAGCTGGTGAGCCTGAACCACTGACTTTGCGGTTCAAAGTGACCTTTCAGTCCAGTGCATTAACCCACAGCACCACACCTGGACTCCATTTGTTGCTGTTGTTAAGTGCTGTAGAGTTGGTTCCAACTCATAGCAACCCTGTATAGATAGGGTGGGTTTCCAAGGAGTGGCTAGTGAGCTTTGAACCACCAACCTTGCAACTCAAAACTGACCTTGCAGTCCAGCATACTAGACCACAGCACCACACCAAGACTCCGGGACTCCAAAGAATCCTTCAATATTACCAAGTTCAAGACTGAAATTTTTCTTCAGTTCTCTCAAGTTGAGAAATACTGAGTGTGTCCTTCCCTTTTGGTTTTCTAACTCCAGGTCTTTGAACATTTTATTACAATACTTGATTTTGGCTTCTCAAGCTGACCTTTGAAATTTTCTACTCAGTTCGTTTACCTCCTCATTTCTTCCATTTGCATTAGCATCTATCTGTATGCTGGAGAGCAACTTCCAGAGTCTCTTCTGACATCCATGCTGAATGTCTTCTTTTTTGACTTCTTAATCACCTTTTGTTTTCTTCCTGTATGGTGTTCTTGATGTCATCCCACAACTCTTCTGGTCTTCGGTCCTTAGTGTCTAATGCATCAAATCTGTTCTTCAGATGACCTCTAAATTCAGATGGAATATGTGCAAGGTCAAATTTTGGCTTTCATCAACTTGTTTTAATTTTCTTCAGCTTCACCCTGAAATTGCCTATGAGTAATTGAGGGTGTGTTCCACACCTGCTTCTGGCCCCAAATCCCAATTCAAATAAAACAACAGGAATAAGTAAAAGGATAAAAAAAGATATGCTTTTCTAATTCTGGGGCCCTGGTGTGGCACTGCAGGATAATGTGCTGGACTGTAAGGTCAGTTTGAACTACAAGGTCAGTAGTACAAACCCACCAGCCACTCCTCAGAAACCATAAATGGTTGCTATGGGTCAAAACTGACACAACAACACTTAACAATAACATTCTAAAGCTAATCAAAAAATTTTAAACCAGAGTTGTTGTTAAGTGCCATCGAGTCAGTCCCGACCCATAGCGACCCTGTATAGGGTTTCTGAGGAGCAGCTGGTGAGCTTGAACTGCTGACCTTGAGGTTCAAATTGACTTTGCAGTCCAGCATAAGATCAAAGAACATTACAAGGAATAAAAAGGGCTATTTCAGAATGAAGGAGTCAATTTGTAAAAGGATGCAATAATGCTAAATATTTAGAAACTTGTTATTTGAGCTCTAAATACATAAAGCAAAACCTGGTAAAATTAAAAGAATAAACAGACAAATCCAAATCCACAGATATACTTGTTGTTAAGGACCGTGGAATTGGTTCCAACTCTAAGCAACCCTGGATCCTGGTTTCCAAGGAGCAAATGGTGGGTTTGAACTGCTGACCTTATGTATTTGTAGGTGCTGCAAACATAGCCAAGGAGCCTGTTGTTGTTGTTTAGTGCTGTCAAGTTGGTTCCAACTCACAGCGACCCTGTATAGGGTTTCCAAGGGCGATCTGAACCACCAACCACGGCAGTTCAAACCAACCTTGGGGTCCAGTGCTTACCCTATAACAATTTCAGAAAAAAATCACTGAAGTTCTATTCATCTTAGTGTAATTTACAATAATAAGAAATTCTCTAAACACACAAAATAGGAGCAGCTCTAAGTGAACTACAATACAGCCATGTAATACATTGCAAAGCAGTCATCAAAAATTTGTTTACAAGGAATTTCTGACATGAAATAATACTCGTTATAATGCTACATGAAAAATGAAAGCTATCAAATTATGCATACAGCATACTCTTAATTTTTTTGATAAATTAGTAAACCTAAATAATGATTATCACTAAAGGTGATTATTTCTTTCATCTTTCTGTACTCTTCAATTTTCTATGACTTTTAAAGCAAGGGAAATCACATTTTAAGACAAGCAGCTCCAACAATTATATTCATGAAAATGTAAGAAGGGAACTATAAAAACCTGTATACCTTTTCAAACACATGTGCACATGCATATAAGTACTCATAAAAGTCTAGCATCTGTCATTCTAAATAACTAGGGATAAAACAGGCATTTTCTCCGTTGCCCTATGAACTATAAAAAGATTAGAAGAGACACAGAGACACTCACTTTTGATCCAAGGGATCCCAACTCCATCTTCTCAAACCCAAGAGCCAAGACACAATCTGCTATACCTTAAAAGGAAGTTGAGCATTTTTAAAAATCAAATATCCAAATATGCCAAATAAAATACCATTAAATTTTTCAATTTAAATAAGTATGACAGACAGCAAAGGAAAAAACTATTATAAACATAATCCTGCAATGAAATTAATACAAAAACAGCATCTGCAAGTAGATACATAAGTAGGCATGCAAACTAAACAGATGTGGACAGTGAATGCATGTACACCCACAAGTATATACAAAGGGGCTTCAAAAAGTTTGTCAAACGTGGAATTAAAAGATAACAAAATTTTTCCATGACCTTGTATAGATTTGGCAGAGGCTATCTCTAGTAGCATAGTGGTTACAAAACAGGCTGAGAACCTCACGGTCAACAGTTCAAAACTACCAGCTGTTCTGCAGGAGAAAGATGAGGTTTTCTGCTCCCGTAAAGATTTACGGTCTCGGAAATCCTGTACAGGGTCCCTATGGCACATAACCACCATCACCATCTCTACATGGGAGTCCTGGCGTGACGCTGTGGGCTAATGCGTCAGATTGTAAAGTCATTTGAACTGCAATGTCAGCGGTTCAAGCTCACCAGCTGCTCCTTGGAAACCCTACACAGGGTTGCTATGGGTGGGGACCAACTCGACGGCACTTAACAACAACAATTTCTACATAGGAGTCCTGGTGTGGTGCTGTGGGTTAATACTGCAAAAGTCATTTGAATCACAAGGTGGGTGGTTTAAGCTCACCAGTTACACCTTCCTTAGAAACCCTATACAGGGTCGCTATGGGTTGGAATCGACTCAATGGCACTTAACAACAATAAAATCTCTACATATGTATTTGGATGTGCTGTAAACATAGTCAAGAACCATGCTGTTGTTTAGTGCTGTCAATTCAATTCCAACTCATAGCAACCCTGAAGAGGGTTTCCCAGGAGTCACTGGTGAATTTGAACCACCAATCACAGTTCAAACTGACCTAGTGTCCAGTGCTTATCCTATAGCATCACACAAGGACTCCAGCCAAGAAGCATATAAGAGGCAAAGTTCTAAAAAATTTTAGCTATAAACAAACACATTGAAGGAATTAGTCAGGGGATTTGGGGACTTAGATCCACAGACTTGGGGGATATCCAGGTCAACTGGCCTAACACAGTCCACAAAGATAATGCTCTACATCTTACTATGGTGAGTAGCAACTGGGATCTTATATGCTTGCAAATAGTCATCTAAGATGCAACTATTGAGCTCTCTCTATCAACAGCAAAGAGTGTCGAAAATAAAAAACTCAAGGAAGCAGTTAGACCAAAGAATTAATGGAGCACATGACCCAAAGTTTCCTCAATCATGAAACCAGAAAGCTTAGATGGTGCCAGGTTACTATTACTCACTATTCTGATCAGGTTCACAATAGTGGACAGAAAGGGAGGAAAAAAAGCAGAATAAAATTCAAAATCATAAAAAAGATCAGACTTACGGGTCTGAGAGAGACTGATGGAATCCCTAAAACTGTGAGCCTTAGAATCCCTTCAAGCCTGAAATCAAACCCACTCCTGATGATCAAATGTCAGACAAACAATAAACAAGTCTATAAAGTAATAACACCAGGGAGGAATACATTCCTCAGAACAATCAGCCACATAAGACCAAAAGGGCAGCATGTGCCCAAAAACAAGTTCAGAAGGCAGGAAGGGGCAGGAAGAAGGGTAAAGGAAAATGAGACACCCAGAGAGGAAGCAGGAAGAGTGCTACTACACTAAGGGGATTATAAGCCACCAACCACCCCTGGGAAACCCTATACAGGGTCACTATGAGTAGGAACCTACTCGATGACACTTAACCACCACAATCAAGGTCACAAAACAAAATGCTAAATAGAAAACTAATTTGCAATACAGACAACAATAAAAAGCTAAAAAAAGAGAGAGATGGAGCATAAAAATAATTATGACAATTTACATGAAATTAAAAAATATAATCCTACAAAAATGTTTATAAGCGAAAATTGATAGAGAAAGAAATGTATATACTTCTGGATAAGAAGAAAATAATCAAGGTATTGAATTGTTTTGATTCTCAATGTTAAAATTTTTATTAATGTAGAAATATATTTTAGTAAAAATAAATGTTGTTGTTCAGTGCCGTCAAGTCGGTTCCAATGCACAGCGACCCTGTGTAAGGTTTCCAAGTGGCTGGTCCAGTGTCCAGTGTCATCCAAAACTCCAAAAATAAAATAAAAAGAAATTGCTAATTCTCAATTTAAAACAAAATTTAAAAGCTCCTGATGAAAATTTCAAATGAATGTTTTTGGAAGTTTACCTGTAAAATGATGTTAAAGTTCACTTGAAAGAAGGACAACAAATTTGCCAAAACTTTTCTAAAAGAAATAGCAAGGTGGGATGACAGGGGCCACTAACAGTATTAAACAGTAAGACATTCCCACTGCTATCAAGTCTATTCCAAATCAAGTAGGAATTAATCATTAAAACAATGGATATGGTACCCAGCTACCATGACCAACTGCTCTGAAAGGGATCATATTAGAAGGTTCCAGATAGAATAGGAGAAAATGTGAAATCAATCTCAAAGTTATATACATATGAAAAGACTGGGTTTACTGGCCAGAAAAAGACTGGAAGAACCTGAGACTATGACCCTTGACCACCCCTCGGGTCTGGATCAGAATTCACCTTCATGACCCAATTTTCAGTCAAACACTAGATAGGTGTACAAGGGGAACAACAACACTAGTAAGGTATGCTCTCCATGGAATGGTCAACCAATCATGATCAAAAGGACAACACTTACCTAAGGACAAAGTTGAAAAGGCTTAGAAAGGATGGTGCAATGAAAATAAAAGCCACAGGGAGGAATTGGGGAAAGCGTTGTTGCATGAAGCAGACTGCAATAATAGAAAAAAAAGTGTATGATTTTTTTAATGTAAAACTGATGAACTTCTCTATAAACCTTCACTCAACTCACAATAAAAAGTTTTTTAAAAATAACAACAAAAAAAAAAACACTAAGTAGTGGAACAGCAATCAACAACCATCTATCTTTTCTATTTTTGAATTATATAAATGTTATTACTGATTCCAAAAAATAATAATAAATTTAGTTGAGAAATGTTAATGATGGTGTAAAAGAAGACTCAATGATATGAGGAATATTCCATTGTAAAGTGTGAATAACAGGTCACAAAACATGTATCAACTAGGTTCCTATTTTAAGAGAAATTTATTTATGTATGCATATTCACACACATACATACCTGCTTAAGGATATATACCAAAACCAATGAAACAGAATACAGGGCCAAAAAAACCCTACAATATTTGAAAATATAGAACATGATATACACTCCAAAGAACTAAAAACGTATGGACACAAAGAGACTGTACACGAATGTTCACAGCGGCATTATTCTTAACAGCCAAAAAGTGGACACCACCCAAATGTTTATCAAAATGTGGTATATCCATACAATGAAATATTATTTAGGAATAAAAAGAAATAAAATACTGATACATACTACAACATGGTGTGGCACTGTGGGTTAATGCACCAGACTGCAAAGCCGTTTGAACTGCAAGGTCGGCAGTTCAAGTTCATCAGTTACTCCTTGAAAACCCTATACAGGGTCGCTATGGGTCAGAATCAACTCAATGACACTTAACAACTACAACATGGTTGGACCTTGAAAACATTATGCAAAGTGAAAGAAGCCAGATACAAAGTTGTATGATTCCACTCATTTTACTCAAAGCAGGTAAATCCATAGAGACAGAAAGAAGATTAGTAGTGCCTACGGGCTACAAGAAGGGGAGTGAGCGCTAACAAGTATGGGGTTTTCTTTATGGGATGATGAAGATGTCTTCAAATTAGATAATGGAAATGTTTACACAATTCTGTGAATATACTGAAAACCACTGAATTGTCCACTTTAAAGGACTGAATATTAAGATATGTGAGTTATATCTCAATAAAGCTGTTATTTCTTAAAAAGATATTATGGATTGAATTGTGTGACCAAAAATATGTGTTGACTTCCTAGGCTTTGTGCCTGTGAATGCGATCCTATTTGGAAATGGGAGTTTCTTTTGTTATGTTAATGTGTGCATACCAATTTAGGGTAGATCCTAAACTGAATCACTTCGGAGATATAAAAAGGCACAGAGATTCATATACAGGGAAAAGACAGAACACATGTAAGACTTGTCTACAAGCAAAGGAATGTCAAAGATCACCTGCAGACATAAGAAGCTAGAAGAGGATCACAGAAGGAATCGACCTGGCCCACACTCTGACTTGGACTTTTAGCCAACAGAACTGTGAGAAAATCAATTTTTGTTCTTTAGAGCTACTTACTTCTGGTTATTCTGTTAATGGCAGCACTAGGTAACGAAGACAAGGATATACATTATAAAGAATTACCTCTGACAGCTATACAGAGAAGTTATTAAAGAGGAACACTGACCCTGCATTTATTCAAATACACTAGACTAGTAAAGCCAGAATGCGCCTTAGAAGCCAGGATGGTGAGACTTTGTCTCTCATACTTGGGACATGTTGTCAGGAGGGACCAGTCCCGTAAAGGACATCAAGTCTCATAAAGTGCAGGGTCTGCGAAAGAAATGAAGACTCTCAACAAGATGGATTGACACAGTGGCAGCAGTTACAAGCATAAACATAACAATTGTGAGCACAGGACCAGGCAGTGTTTCGTTCTGTTGTGAATCAGAGCTGAGTTGATGGGACCTAACAACAAAAGACAAATAGGCATTCCTCACCTCCCTGAATCAGTTGCCGGCCCATAAACAAAGCAGTAGAACCCGTAGCACAATTATTGTTGACATTGATTATAGGAATTCCAGTCAATCCCAAACTGTGATAGATAGCTCTCTGCCCACAGGTAGAGTCACCTGTAAAGAAAAGAACAAAAACTGTTAATACCTGCAATCTGAAATAAGGGAGCTGCAGTGCAACATCATGCTACACTGTAGTTTTTCTCAGTATCACGGCTTTGCAAAGCATACAACATGGGCAGGCCAGTAAACACACTACTGACATCTTACTCAGAAACAGTTTTAGCACTAAGCATCATTTACTCTGCAAATATAAAAAATTCTCAAGTCACAAATATATATGTACAAAATATATATGTACAAAAGATAAGCAGTGGACTGCTAACCACAAGGTCAGTGATTCAAACCCACCAGCCGCTCCTTAGAAACCCTAAATAGGGTCACTATGAGTCGGAACCAACTTGATGCTGTTGTTGTTGTTAAGTGCCGTGGAGTCGGTTCCGACTCATAATGACCCTGCATAGGGTTTCCAAGGCTGAAATTCTTTACGGGAGCAGAAAGCCTCCTCTTTCTCCCACGGAACCACTGGTAGTTTCAAACTGCTGACCTTTCGGTTCACAGCCCAATTGGTAACCACTACACTACCAGAGCTCCTTAGAACCAACTTGATGGCACTTAAAAAAAAAAAAAAAAACAAAATTTTTTTTTTTTATTATTGTGAATTGAGTGAAAGTTTACAGGACAGATCATCAGTTTTACATTCAACAAATCATACACCTTGTTTCATTACAATGATTATAATCCCCTCCATGCACAATCAGTTAACAGTATTTCTCTCTATTCACTTTAACTCGTTTTTGTTTTGTTAAACACTCAGGCATATATAATAATTTACACCACCAAAGGGCAAATTCTGCAAGTCTGCCTCCTGGCTCCCAGCTCTTAGTCCCTCTCTTCCCATGAATCTAGAGTCCTCAGCTGTTTCCTCTCTCCATGTCCCCATCTCTGCCTCCATTTCTGGTGTTGCTGCTTCTCTGAATAAGGTCTCGCATTCCGCTTGTGCTCTTCTTCCTTGATGGTCCTAGGGTTCTTTGTTTCTGGACTGTAAGATTAACTACTCCCCCGTTTTTGTTATAAAACTTCTATCTTTACAACCGTGACAGTTGCAATTAGTCATTATAACCATTACTCACTACTGAATTATAAGAATCTTATCCCCATCTCTTTTAGTCAGACCCATCTAGATAAGAAGAAAACTATTCAATGGGGACTCTTTCTTCCCCCACACACTCTTAAACTAAACTCCCTCTTGAAACCATGTAAGCTAGTCATTTCATGCCTGTATCACCCCCTCAATTTAGGTAGCCAATGTCTACGTTGCCTGTCCCTATCTACCCTATGTACAGAGGGGATAGCACTGATACTTTATGAGAAGACTCCTTCCCTCTCTATTGGTATTTAGAGTCACTACCTCCATGAGTATAGGTCAAGTTCATCAAATTGTAGCAATTTACCCTTGTTTCCTTTATCAAAAATTTTTGTTGTTATTTTAGCTTCCTCTAGTCAAGTTCTGAATATCAAGCCATCGAGGCTAGGTCAAATGGGTACCATCTGCAAGTTTGGGTGTTCTTGTGCATCTCCCCTCACTTCATATCAGCTGGATGTTTCATTCTCAGCTATAGGCCTCTGTAGCTATGTTCTTGTCCATGGACTCAGGTGTCCCCAAGTCTCACCAAACTTTGGAACAACCAGACCTTCCTCTTCTCTCTCTCATCTCTAGGTCAATGGGACCCATTCCTTCATTGCTGCCTTTCCCCCCTTCTACTTACCAGTAGACCAATGTGGTAGCCAGCAAGCTTACATGCCTGCTTATGTGTTCCCTTTGAGTTTCAGTCTTAGAGGGGGAATAACAAACTTTTAAAATTTGTTTTTATATAATTTTATTTTGCTGTTGTTTCTGTTGGGAATATACACAGCAAAAATACACCAATACAACAGTTTCTACATGTGTCACTTAGTGACATTGATTACATTTTTCAAGGTGTGCAACCACTCTCACCTCATTTTCTGAGGGGTTCCTCCCCTTGTAACAAAAATTCAATTAATCCTAAGGTTCCTAACTAGTCTTCTGAGTTGCTATTGTCAACTGAATCAGTTATAAAGAGATCTTAAAAGAGTATAATGCCAAGACCTTTTACCGGTTAAGTTCACTATTCTTTAGTTTAACGATTTCAGGGGTTCATCTAATTTACATTTCTCCAATAAGTCTTGAATCCATAAGAATTTGAAAGTCTGTTCTGCATTTTTCCTCTTTTGATCAGGATTCCTCCATGGAATCTTCTACCAAAATGTTCAGTAATGGTAATCGGGCACTATCCAATTCTGATTTCACAGTAAAGGAAGCAGTTATTAGTGGAAACAATTAGTCATACATTGCACATCTTCTTTAAAATAATAAATAGGAGACTGGAGAAATGGTCAAGTAATAGTAAACAATTCAATGTGGCTAGGGAAATGTGAAAAAGGAAGCAATAGTTCATTAACATTTGACTGTCAGATATAAACCTTCAAAACCTTACTAACTGATTTAAAAGGCCCCATTTTTATTTAACTTAAAAGATCCTGTGTGCCACGGCATTCCAGGAAAATGGTGATCCAAGTTAAGTACAACGGACTCCTTCTCCCAAGTAACATGCCAACCAACAACAGACATGCTAAAGCAGCATGATGGGAACATCTGGAGGGACAGGCCCTCTGGGTAAACAGTAGAGTTTAGGACCTCCTTTTCAATAAATACATTTTGCAGCCCTTCACCCAGTAAATATTCCCTCGAGAATACACTTGGTATCTCGAGGAAAGAATCATGGACATAAACTAAAATTCATCAGTTGCAAAAAACAAAAAGTGAGAAATAAACTTAAAATTCCCAACAACAGGATACCATTACCACTACTAAACAAGCTGTAGTAAAGTCACAAGACTAGAATATCATGCAGCTGTTAAAAATGCTACAAAACACTGATGTACTAGTCATAATACTACAAAAAAAAATGGAAATAATCCAAGTATTCAATGTGGTATGTACATATCATGGAATATTATTCAGTCATAAAGATATAGAGGTTCTGATACATGCTACAACATGGATTACTCTTGAAAACATAGTAAGTTAGACAAAAAAGGACATTGTATAACCTGACTTAAATAAAATATCAAGGATAGTCAAATGCATAAAAACAAGTCTTCTAGAGGTTACTAGGGACAGAAGGAAGGGGAGAATGGGAGATATTAATTAAGGAAAACAGTGTTGTTGCTTAGTGCTGTAGAATTGTTTCCAACTCATAGAGATCCTGTATAGGGTTTCTCAGGAGCAGTTACTGGATTTGAACTGCTAACCTTTTAGTTCAAACTGACCTTGCAGGGATTATCCTATAGCACCACATGGGAGTGATAAAAGCGTTTAGAAATGAATATTGATGATGGTTGCATAACATGGTAAATGTAATTAATGTCTCTGAATTATACACTTAAAACTGGTTAAAATGGCAAAATTGTGTGTGTGTATATGTATACACACATATATATGTTGTTGGTGTTAAGTGCTGCCAAATCAGCTCTGACTCATAGCAACACTGTATAGGGTTTCCAAGGAGCAGCTCGTGAGTTTGAACCACTGACCTTGTGGTTAAAACTGACCTGAGAGTCCTGGGCATTATCCTACAGCAACACACATATACCACCATTTTTTAAAATGCTATAAAAAAAAAAGCTGAGACTATCCATGAACAGGACATACATTAAACAAATTATCATAGATATATATATGCCATGGAACATTATAACACTGTTGTTTTTGCTGTTAAGTGCCATTAAGTTGGTTCCGAACCACAGTGACCCTGTGTAGGGTGTCTGAGGAGCAACAGGTAAGCTTGAACTGCTGACACTGTGGTTCAAATCGACTTTGCAGTCCAGTGTATTAACCCACAGTGCCACACCAGGACTCCACAATAACACTACATTACCATAAAAATTTTTAAAACACAGACCAAGGAAGCCTTTTATGACACAATTCAGAATAGTCATCAAAAATGATCAATTTATAAAAAGATACAAAATACAATGTGTATGTCATATTACAATCTGTCTAAGAAAAGCTAAGGAAAGGGTGAAATTGCACATCACACGCCAGTTGGTGTGTGCACACATCTAATGTGGAACACTACACTACAATGTGGTAAAACTGGTTGCCGAAGGGAAGGGAGCCACAGGACAGGGGGATGGGAATAAAACTGAGACTTTCCACTCTACAACCACCCTTCTTGTGTATTTTTTGAATCATATAAATGTATTCTCTATTCCAAAATAATAACAAACTTAATTGAAAAATGGTACTGATGGTATTAAGAAGCCTTATGAAATGAGAACTGTTCAACAGGAAAATGGGAAAAACAGGTTTCAGAAAGTATGTATACGAAGATCCTATTTCCTTTAAGAGAAACTATTGTTGTCAAGTGACATTGAGTCAGTTTTGACTCATAGGGACCCTGTACAGGGTTTCCAAAGGAGTAGCTGGTGAATTTGAACCACGGAACTTGCTGTTGAAACCACCTTTCAGTCCAGTGCTTTATCCCACAGCACCATACCATGACTCCAATTAACACATGCATATCCACAAAAACCACACCACTGAAGGATGTGTACCAAAACACTAATGGTGGTAATCTCTGGATAATGGGATTACAGGTCATTTATTTCTTCTTGTGCTTTTCTGTGGCTTCCTTTTTCTATTTTAGACAATTGTTTTATATTATTTTTCTAATCAGAAAACAAATGCTACTGAAAAACTTCGTCATGGACAAAAATGTCAACAAATATGTATTCTAAAATAACAAAGAGTAAAAATTTATCTCCTAAACAGCAATTATTCTTACCTAGTAGAACTACAGGTAATTTCTTCTTTTTTAAAGATATAAAAAATGTCTTAAATTTATTTCCAATTGGACATGAAGCTGAATGAAATTAGCTAATCACAAAAGGATAAACCATGTATGAAAAGTTTTTCATGCTAAAAGAAATCATCTATGACAGGTACCAGGGGCGGGAGAGAAGGGATAGCAAATTACTGGCTAGAGGGTGACAGGAAAGGCAATATACAACACAGAAAGGTTGGCAGAAGAATGATGAAGGCAGGAAAAGACAGAGAGGAGTGCAAGAGTTAAAGGGAATAGACGTAAATACTGCTATACATATAATCCTGCAAAAACACTGATCTGTGGGTAGATACATGGATATACACACAGGCTGCTGAATGTGACAGGGAGAGTAGAAGCATACCCACAAATATATAAAGGTTTGACAGATGATATTTGTACATGGGTATTTACCTTTGCTGTAAACATATCTAAGAACTGGTGGAGCATACAGGGGACAAGACAAAGTCAAATGTTGTAATGAGATGTGCAATGATCTGAAGTTAGAAAACCAAAATGGAAGAACACACTCAGCATTTTTCAAACTGAGAGAACTAAAGAAAAAATTCAAGCCTCAGCTTTCGTTATTGAATGATTCTCTGGCAAATTATTGAATAATGCAGAAAGCATCAAAAGAAGATGGAAGGAATACAGAGTCACTGTGCCAAAATGAAATGATTGATGTTCAACCATTTCAAGAGGTAGCATATGATCAAGAGCCAATAATACTGAAGGAAGAAGTTCAAGTGTATTGAAGGAAATGGCAAAGAACAAAGCACCGGGAATTGAAAGAATTGAAATCTTTGAACAACGTGAGGCACTCACTCATCTGTGTCAAAAAATTTGGAAGCCAACTGAAAGGAAGAGATCCATATTTGTGTCCATTCCAAAGAGAGGTGACTCAATGGAATGTGGAAATTATCAAACAGTATCTTTGATATCCCATGCAAGGAACGTTTTATTAAAGGTAATACAGAAACAGTTGCAACCATACATTTACAGAGAACTTCCAGAGGGTCAAGCCAGATTCAGAAGAGGATGTGAAACAAGGGATATCATTCCTGACATCAGATGAATCTTGACTGAAAGCAGGGAATATCAGAAAGAAGTTTACCTGTGCTTTATTGACTTTGCAAAGGCTTTCGATTGTGTGGCTCATGATAAGCTATGGACAATATTGCGAAGTATGAGTACAGAACACTTAATTGTGCTCATGAGGATGGACCAAGAGGCAGTTGTTCGAACAGAACATAGGAACACTGAATGATTTAAAATTAAGAAAGGTGTGTAACAGTGTTGTATTCTTTCACCAAACTTGTTCAACATGTATGCTGAGCAAACAATCCAAGAAGCTGGGTTATATGAAGAAAACCGTGGCATCAAGATTGGAGGAAGACTCATAAACGACCTGCGATATGCAGATGATACAACCTTGCTTACTGAAAGTGAAGAGGACTTAAAATACTTATTGATAAAGATCAAAGAGCACAGCCTTCGGTATGGATTACATCTCAATATAAAGAAAACAAAAATCCTCACCACTGGACCAATAAACAACATTCTCATCAACAGGAAAAGATTGAAGTTGTCAAGGACCTTATTTTTCTTGGATCAACCACCAACACTCATGGAATCAGCAGTCAAGAAATCAAACGATGTACTGCATTTGGAAAATCTGCTGCACAGTACCTTTTTAAAGTGTTGACAAGCAAAGATGTCAGCTTGAGGACTAAGGCGTGCCTGACCCTAGCCATGGTATCTTCAATAACCTCATATGCATGTGAAAGCTGGACAGTGAATAAGGAATATCATAGAAAAATTGATGCATTTGAGTTATGGTGTAGGAGGAGAATATTGAAAGTGCCATGGGCTGCCAAAAGAAGTGCAGCCAGAGTGCTCCTTGGAGGCCAAGATGGCCAAACTTCGTCTCTCATACTTCAGACATATTGTCAGGAGGGACCAGTCGTTGGAGAATGATATCGTGTTTGGTAAGGTGGAGGGTCAGAGAAAAAGAGGAAGACCCCAGAGAGATGGATTGGCAAAGTGGCAGCATCAATGGGCTCAAGCGTGGCAACAGTTGTGAGGTTGGTCCAGGACCAAGCAGTGTTTCATTCTGTTGTGCATAAGGTCACTATGAGTCGGTACCGACTCAACGGCACCTAACAACAACAACAGGGGACAAAATTATGAAAACTTCTTAAGCATTACCACACACCTAGAGGGAATGAGTTGCTAGGCACAAGGCTCAGGACCACAGTCTTGGAGGACACCAAGGTCACTTAGCAATATATAATTCATAAAGACAGTGTCCTACATCCTACTTCGGTGAGTACAACTAGGATCTTAAAAGCTCATGAGTGGCCATCTAAGGTGCAAACTCTTGGTCTCTTCCTGCATGGAAGAAAGAAGAGAGGTAAAAACTTAAGACACTAGGAATTAGTCCAGTGGACTAAATCAAACATGTGAACAACAGTATCTTTGAAGAACTATATGGTGCCCAGCTACCATTACCAACTGTTCTGAAAGAGATCACATTAGAAGAATCCTGGAGAGAGTGGGAGAAAATGTGGGGGAAAACTCAAAACTATAAAAAGACCAGGCTTACTAGTAAGAAAGAGACTGGAGTAACCCAACACTATGGCCCTTGGTTACCCTTGGACCTGAAACTGAACTCACTATCATGGTTCAATTTTCAGCCAAGAAGTAGAGAGGTACATGGGGGAAAAACAATTACTAGTGAGGTATGCCCACCATGGAATGGTCAACCACTCAATATCAAAAGGGCAGCATTTACCTAAGGACAAAATTCAGAAAGGTTGGAAAAGAAGGAGGAATGGAGATAAGAATCCAGGAAGGAAGTGGAATACGTGATGGTACATTGGGGGGGAATTACAATCATTGAAATGAATGTAAAAATGGTGATTTACTCTGTAAACCTTTATTTGCTCTGTAAACCTTCAATTTACAATAAAAAGTTTCTTTAAAAAAAGGAATCTCCTGTTTGTCTATATAATAATGGCAAAAAAATAAACAAGGCTGCCGCTAAGAGAAACCTATGAATTATTGATTTTGAGATTCTGAGTTTTGAGGGTGAAAATTCACAAATACTTCCATGATGTTTATGTAGTTGCTTATAAATTTAGGTGAATAATTTTTAGAATATATAGTTTCACATACCATAAACATATCCAACACATGCCTGTTCCACTGCTGTATACGGGATCCGTGCATCAGCCAAAGCCTTCTGGCCTACAAGAACAAAAAAATTTTTTATTAAAAAAGCATCTTGAGTATTTACTGGTAAAAATTAAGTCTAGCATTTTCCCACAATAAATCTATCTGTATGCAGTCTATACCCAATTCAAATGCCAAATCCTTCACCAAATCATAACAGATTTCTCGTTTCAGGACTAATCATTTCTTTCTCTACACTATGGTCGTACTTTTCCAAAAGCCTCCTTTTGTCATATTTACCATTGTTTATCCTTGATGTACACTGAGCTATGTTGCTGTTGTTGTTGTTGTTGTTGCTAATTGCCATGGAGTCAATTCTGACCCATAGCGACTCCATGTAGACAAAGTCGAACTTTGCTCCAGAGAATTTTCAAGGCTTTGAATTTTAGAAGAAGAGCTCCAGCCTATATTCCAAGGCCTATATCTGGATGGGTTTGAACCATTAATCTTTTGGCTTAACCACTGATACCACACAGGAATCCCTACATCTAACTATAAATGTATTTAGTCCCAAGAATCTAAAAGCTCTGTAAAGGCAAGGTCCTTGATTTATTGTCTGTGTCTCCACCACACATCCAGATGGCAAAATGAGACAGAATGGGGGTAAGGAAGTAGAGAGAAGGTTGAGGAGACAAATATGTCCATCTCTCAAAGACAGGATCAAAAAATCATCCTGTCTGTGGAATAAGAAATGCAACTTTAAGAATACTATCCCGGAACCGACGGCACTTAACAACAACAACAACATCCATGAGAGAACAAACAAGATGGCGGATCAGTAAAAGTACAGTGAGGAGCTCCGTCAGCAACAACACAGAATAACGGACCTAATAGGTTCAGAGGATGGTGCCAGAACTCTGAACCACATATAAAGGAATATTAAGAAGGCTGGAAGGCTTATAGCTAGCAGAAGCAAGAAATACATTACTTTCTAATTCAAGATGTTTAGCTGCTCCCAGAGCCGCCATCTTGGGTGATACCAAACAAGGGAAGGATCAGAGCAGCCATGGATGGCTGACAGAACTGCAGAGATAACGGTGTAAACATTCTTTTTTTAAATCTGTTCATTGGTCTCTCGCTGTCTGCGCACCTCCATTCTGGTGACTAGAGGGGGTGCCTGAGAGAGTAGACACACCAACCCCCCCACCACCCCTAGAGGGTTCTACTACACATGCACAGATCTTCTCGAAATTTAAAGTGACAGTTTCCACTTAAAACCAAATGGCAGTGCAAAACAGCCACAGCCAGCCCTGAACTGTTTATCACTAGGGAAAAGGCCTGAACGGGGATTGTGGAGCAGGACAGGCAGACTAAAAAGGAAACAGACCAAATTAAATTCTGAGTTACGTCACAACGGCCAACAGTGGCTTCTGAAATTCTCAGGAAGAAGAGTGAAAAGGGAAGTGCATCTCCTGATCACATCTATCTGGAGGCAATCAGAAAGCATAAAAAAAATACCAAAATACACACCTATCTAAGTATTAAGGCCACAGATAACTCCTGAATATGCCCCCAAAACAGAAACAGATGACCATATCTGCACATATCCAGAAACGAGATAAAGTGACTGAGACAAAGGAGCTGGAAGTAAACCTACACTCCATACTGGAAGAGGGGAAGGCTTTGGAAATGCCTGAGAAGGAATTCAGAAAAATGACTATAAAATGTATCAAAACACTATACAATGGAGTTGAAAAAAATAAGGAAGAAGTCAGGAAAGTACTACAGGAACAATCAAATAAGATACAGCACTGGAAACAATTCAAAACCTACAGAAAGAGGTCCAAATGATTAATAATAGAATATCAAAAATGGACAATACACTGAAGGGCAAAGGAGTAGAACTGAAGAGATAGAAGCCAGAACTAGTAAGCTAGAAGATAAATCTCTCAACACTACTAAGATAGAAGAGCAAGCACAAAAAGTGATAAAAAAAAAAATCTGAAGAAGGCCTGCGATTCATGTTGGACAATATGAAGAGAAATAACTTAAGAATTATCGGCATTCTAGAACAGGAAGAATCACAGAAGTCCACAGAGGAGATAGTTGAAGAACTTCTGGAAGAAAATTTTCCAAACATCCTGAAAAATGAAAAGATAAGCATTCAAGAAGTTCAATGAACCCCAGGAAGGACAGACCCTAAAAGACAATCACCAAGACACATAATAATCAAGCTCTCCAAAATCAAAGATAAGGACATTATCCTGAAAGCAGCTAGGGAAAAGAGAAGTGTAACATACAAAGGCAAGCAAATCAGATTAAGCTAGGATCTCTCAACAGAAACCATGCAGGCAAGAAGGCAATGGGGAGACATATATAAAACACTGAAAGAAAAAAAACTGCCAAACAATAATCCTATCAAACCAACAAAGCTGTCATTTAAATATAATGGTGTAATAAAAACATTCCAGGATAAACAGAAGCTAAAGGATTTTTGCCAAAGCCAACCCTGCTATGAAAAACATCCTAAGGGAAGTTCTGTGGACTGAGAACCAACAAGAACAAAAAGAACCAGAGAATGACGTATGTGACAAATGGAAGAGTCAAGAACAGAATAAAATTATAAGAACAGAGGATCTGAGAGGTCAGTCTATGATCAAAACAATTACAATGTGAAAGGTAAACATAGAGGAACAGAGATCCAGGTGGTGAGAAGGTCAGGTAGATTACAGGATAAAATAGACTGTCTTAAATAGAGGGAAGAGTTAATGGAATATAAGGTAACCACAACAGTGGGGTTGGGGTGGGGGGGTTAGTTCAGCTGTTGGGGAGGGCAATACAAGAAGGGGGAGGAGGTGGAAGAACAAGATAGATAGAGGAACACTGAGACCAGTTTGCATGGCTTAAGTGGAATAGAGGTTAACAGTGATGCATGCTCAACCTTGGAACAACAGGGCTCTGTGATACAGGGATTTAGAAACGTTTGAAGAGGGGAAATAATACTAAAATGCTTGACTGCCTTATGAATATTGGTTTCCCTTACCTACTATTATAAAATAGATACTTGAGTGGGATAGAAAGGAATGTTGGGAAACATGATTACAGAAAGCTTGTAAGCCCGTCTTCAGCCTATAACTGATTGGAATACCTAAAAGGGATTCTAGAACTTGCCCAGTGAAATAGACCTCTTGAAAAACCTTTGGAGCATATAGGACCTTAGGTGGAATCCTGAATCCCATCCAGAACACGCTCAGCATTTCT